AGCTGATAAGTGGTATTGAAAATGCATCGATGGACACCAGATCTTAAAAGTAGGGGAAAGCGATCGCACAGGCATGAAGTTAGTCACCATCTAGGGTTGCCCACACGGGGGCAGCGTGGTACTTGACATGCGGGGGTGCTGCCGCAGCGGGTTCTCTCAATCAAAAGCTGTGCACCCTGCAGAGAGGCTGAGGCAGCAGCTGACCTCCAAGTCCTCGGCAGCTGCCTGCTACAATGTGAAGGCTTTAATCCCCCTGCAGGAGCATCCGCCAGCCAAATCCCAGCGCATGGAATATTAGAAGGGACGCGCATTTAGCATTTTTTTTTTTTTTTTTTAGCGGCGTGACACAGCAGCATGCGCTACATTAAACAGCGTGCTAGCACAAGCGCCGCTCGGCTCGCCGTGGCCTAATTAACCACTCATCGCCACGGAACCACGGTGGTAGCGAACCCTTCGGGGCAGCAGGGTGGGGTTGGGGAGAACACAACATCCACGCTACACCAAACACCCCCCCTCTGGCCGGCTTCACCTAGCCTCCCTCACGCACGTTCCATCCTACAGCAGTCACAACACGGCAGCCATTTTAGATCTATAAATCAGAATGCAGGGCGTCACGCCGCCGTGGCTAACCTGACGGGGCTCTTCTCGCTCGATTGCAGCGGCAGCGCGCCGGAGGAGGGCGAAACGATTCCGTGTCAACGAGACCTTGAGATCTTTGCGTGACAAAAGCATAAAAGTGTGTACATTAACGTCACGTTTTTTGACAAGTTGTGACCTCCAGAGTGTGAAATGAACATGCACAGATATGGAAGGAAAACGTGATGGTTAAAGATGGCCAGAATCAGTTTCAGGGTCGCCAACCAGTGGATCGTTTTGCCGGGCCGTGCATTTGGTATCGAGGCCTTCACTGGGGACTTGCCTGACTTAATCAACCTCTTCATAAGAGTACATGGCAGATAGCAGTATAAAAGTCCAATATGAGTGCATGTGATTGTGTCACATACTTGACTTGAACCAGTCAGAATTAATATGTATCGAATAACATGACCAAAAAAAAAAAAAAGGCATCATGCTCACCAGAGATGTTGATTATTTAACATATTCAGGTGCGCAGATCGCTATAGATGTTTTTGCTAGCTGAAGTTGGCTGGATCAAGTTTTTTTTCTGACCAACCAATCAGAGGCAGAAAAAATCTGCTGCCATCGGCCCTGTTCGAAGAAAAAATGAAGTCTCACTGGTTAAAAACACAGTTTTGCTGCTAATGTAGTTTAAATAAATGTTTCATGGAACAATTGGTCAGCGTGAATTGCACTTAAGCACGAAACACTCTTTGCTAGATACGATCTAGCGACATAAATACTGTAGATACATACACAGTATATAAAATAAAGATCACCAACCCAGTAGACTGCGATGTGAAAATTCTTCTACACTGCGATGTGAATGTTGGAACTGGATTCACTGTTCAGCCCGACAAGGTCGTGTGTATGTTTGCGACTGCGCGTGTGTGTTTCCGAGCTCGCCCGGGCCCAGTCCAGCCTCCTTCATGCCTGTCGGAAAGGCTCCCCCATCATCGACATGGGCCGAACGGGCGTCTTTCTACCCGCGTTCCCCCTCGCTTAGACAACCGCTTCGTGCGACCGAGTCCTCGCTGCTCTCCAGCCAAGCAAAAGAAAATGAGAACGCCAGTGAGAATTCGAGCCCCCCCCCCCCCCCCCCCCCCCCCCCCCCTCCCTTCAGCACGACCAAAGACACACGGGCCCGGCGCAACACAAATAGGACGTGACACCCCGAGAGAGGGCGGAGGTTGTGGAGGGGAGAGTGGAAATGTACGCAGGTCCAATACCCCACTGTGCCGTCGCCGTCACCCCCACCCCACCCGCCGCCCGGCCCCCAACCTCCTTCCCCACCCGCCTTCGTAAGGCCGGCGGCCACGCTTTGACATCGACTTTGTGACACCCGATGACTCATGGCGGAGACATTTGAAGACGGATGTGACCTCAATTTGCCGATTTATGTAATCACGCTTAGTCTAATCCCAACGCAGACGCTTACTGAGATGTCGCATATTTTTTGGTTCGTCGCGATATGGACTGCGATTGTTTTTTTTTTTTTAATTACATGTGCATAATGTGAGGGACTATTATTATTTTAGGAGTTACAGTATTTCCTATAACCTAAAATGAATGTATATTTTTTTTTCAAAGGTTGCTTTTTCATGGCGAAGCTTGATAGGTGTCTGTATAGCATCCCCTTAAATAAATAAAACCATCCTGAGGGGAATGGAAAAATCAGAGAATAAAAAATTTTTTACTGAGAAACGTCAGCTGTCACCCCTAAAATGTTTGAATTTTCATTCGGTGCCTACGAGGTTGAAAAACGAGGAGAGCTTAGACTGTGTTGCAAAGCATGAGTGAGGGGGGGGGTGAGTCAGACGTCGCATCGCTTCCTTGTAAAATTCAGATATGTCAAAAAAGTAGAACATGAAATTCCATCTTTGTGAGCGTGTGTTTGCGTGTGGGTATTTACCCCCTCGCTTTTACAGTGTGGGTCAGGCATCCATTTTCTCGAGTCTTCAGCGAGGGCTCCTACATTTTGTGAAAATGCCGCCGCACTCACATTCGGAGACCAAAAAAAAAAAAAAAAAGACGCATAAGATTCCGTCATCCCCTTTTAACGCCCGTGCTTAACAAACGTGAGAACTTTTGGGGGGAAAAACAAAAAAAGTCTTCATATGACCTTGTGCAGCTGGAACACTCCGCGCGCACATTTATGCGCCATTTCAATACCACCCCCCACCCCCAAAAAACCTCATTCCCAACCCCCACAACCTCCTTTCTATCTTTCAGGCTTATTAAGTTGCCTTATCAGAGGATACACTCACCCCTCCAAGGCCTTACACACACACACACACACACACACACACACACACACACACACAACGTGCAGATTGGCTGGATTAAACCTATTGTTTGTTTACACACACACACACACACACACACACACACACACACACACACACACACACACACACACACACGGGCCAGCTTCATGCCACCACCCTGCCCTCCTCCGAATCAACCCTTCGCATCGCTCCTCTCCCCGGGCCTGGAGGGTGAAGTCGAGGGGTGAGGATGAGGATGAGTCGAAGGGAGGGAAGCTGGAAAAGGGGGTGCGACGCGAGCGAGGTGGGGTTGGGGATGGGTGGGGGGGGGGTGCTCTCCTCCTCTGCGCTTGGCTCCAGAAGCCTTTGATGTTCTGCAAATTTCAAATTTCATTATAGAAGAACCCTCTTCTTAGCTTTTCCCCCCCCCCCCTTTCCATGCCCCCACCCCTACCCAACCCCAATGCTGAAGTTAAGAAACTGAAAGCCCTGCAGAAGAGACTTTTCATATGGGTTAATTATTCATCGGGCTGGAAGGGTATGAGCCAAATGTATGTCTGCACGTGTGTGTGCGTGTGTGTGTGTCTGGATTTTTTTTTGTGTGTGTTTGCCACGCCTGTCTTATCTCTGGCCTCACCCACTTGCTCTTGTCACTCCATCGAATGCTTTTTATCCCCCCCCCCCCACCCCGAAACGAGCGGATGGCCTTTTCGCTCTTAGTTTTCGAGTGCCATTTTGGAGACGGGCGGGAGGCGCCAATGCGGCAAGACGACCATTTTGGTTGCGAGCGCGTCAGATTTGCGTTCCCGGCGGATCCTCAGTCGAAAACTGCGGTGCCACTGAAGTCGCTGACAGATCGGTGGTGTCAGCAGCATCGTCGTCGTCGGTGGCAGAGAGAGACGGAGAGACTGTCAGATGTTTATAAATGTGTGTTTTGTGAGTGCAAACTAGGTTAGAGAATCTCAGACGTCAACTGGGGAGCTGACAAGACGATATGCTCCACACGAGGGGCCTTTTGTTGCAAATACAGTATACTCTATTAGCAGTACTTTGGATTTTTGATCTAATGCTGCAGTTGAGGTGTCACTGCATATATGTCGTAAAATCTCATTCATTGTGAGGGATACGTTCCGGACCGCTCCACTACAGTTAAAAATCCACAATTTAAAGTGACCTACTTTAAAAAGTAAAATATGAACTGGATTCAAGATGAAATGCGACACGGATTTCAGCTATTTCGGCCCGCCCGGTCCCTCTCGCCGACGAACAATGGCGGTCCACTGTTGTATGCCAGCTCCCTCTAGTGGTACTTGACAGAATCACTGCCAAAGTACAGTTCGGTTATATTTGACTTTTTAAAACTTGTTACTACAATCCATTTCATTTTTCCAACACGAATTGTTTTTAAACTTTTACTTGACGGTTTTTTAAATTGTAAAACCGACTGATTGTTGGTGAATGGTCTTACTCGGCTCTCCATTACACTGAAATTCAAATCACTCGAATAGTGGCTCTAAAGATTACGTCACCTCATAAAACAAATTACGGACAATAAAATGTAAAGCATTTTAAAGCGGGGGTGTCAAACTTATTTTTGTCGCGGGCCACATTGTCGTTCTGGTGTGCCTTGAAGGGCCGTGATGACTGTGAGCCCATATAAATGGAAGCTCGCCTTATATTGTCACAACATGTACGCAACAAATTCATCTGTAAATCACTTTAAGGTTGCTAGCAAAAAGTATTTTTTATCTCGGTGCTGTTAAAAGTGAAAACATTTGCAACAAACATGAAGTCAATGCACACGACTTGCCTTCGGGGGCCACATAAAATGCTGCTTGGGGTCAGATCCTTCGAAGTCAGACAAGTTTTGTCGGCGGTTACCACATCTCTAACTACTGACCACGACTTTGTTTTACTTTTTGTTTTTTTTTTTCCAAGACAAAAAGTAAAAGTTTTCTCAGCTTTTATTTATTGCTCATTTGGCTTGTTTTCATTTCATGCCTGTAATAGAGGTCTCTAAATGTGCTGAGTGTGAGGATGGGTCACAGTCAGCTGATTGTCAGTGGTGGTGGTAAGCGAGGGCGGGGGGGGGGTTTTTTGGGGGGGGGGTTCACCATCTCTCTGATCTCATTACGTTGCTCTATTTATTCGCCTTCCATCACCTCCCACCGCCATGGTCTCAGCTGCCAGCCCTCTCTCACCTCCGACCCCTGCCCAAGGCCAAGGTTGGGAGGTTGTCGTCATGGTAACCCCCACCCTCACCCTCCAGCCCTTGGCCTGTGACGGCTGACCCCTGAGTTAAAAAGGACGATCATAATTCGCTCCCCACTGATGGCGGCTGAATGGCTTTTACGGCAAGCTGATGGGAGGATCAACGGAAAGACGGAGCGATGGACAGATGGATGGAGCGAACAGAAGGGGGCGGGGTGGGCGAACCCCACGTGTGCCACTCCAATGACCTATGCACCCTCTCGTGTTCTTTCAGCCGGAGGGCTGTCGAGAGCGAGGACGGAGATGCGATCAACCGAACACAGGTGGCTTTGCTTAACTAAACGGCGTGCGACTCAAAGAGGTCGCCCCCCCACCCCTCCATTGTTATTCAAACAAATGGGCCAACTCCACACATGAGGTTTAGCCGCTCGACAAGCACACTTGAGACCTGGAAAATGTGCTCAATGGGAGCTGCTACACATTCAAATTAAAGTGCGACTTCATTTAAGCAGTGAGGATGTGGACGGCATCATTTCGCAACGTCTCTTAATGGAAACTGCACTGAACTCTAACATGGCCCACAGAGGTTTGTTTTCCTTTCATTGAAGGTGAAACGTTCTTTGACATGAGACGAGGAGAGAGACTTTTTGATGGCGAGGGCGCTGATTTGACCTTGTGCTGGATATTATTCAAGATATTATTTAACCCTTTCAGGGACAGCGGTCACTACAGTGGACAGCTTATCATGTTATCGGGTTACATGAAAGGGTTAATTTAACATTTTCAATGAAGTGACAGCATACAGAGACCCGAGCTACCACTGTTAGCTTTCATCAAATATCTTTTTAAAAGACATTCGATGAAAAAGTGGACTTCAGCTACCGCTGTTATCCCAGGTGAAATATCATGAATTTAAAAATCAATAAGGCGCTCTCTCTCTCTCTCTCTCTCTCTCTCTCTCTCTCTCTCTCTCTCTCTCTCTCACGCATGAACGTTTTGAAATGGATCAGTGGAAAGCTGTAACCAGTAAAGATGTGACGTGAGACAAGATGTGATCTCACCTAAATCAGAATTCTTGGGACAGATACCTTTTAAAATCAATCGCCGTCTTTCTTTGAGACAGCTCAGTAATCTATGAACGCTTGGAAATGGTGGGGGGAGAGAATAAGCGAAAAGACCTTTGACCCAGCCATTTACGGGTCAAATGAAAAAAATCATTTAAAATCAATAGGGTAAAACCAAATAGTGACATGTGGAAGCCAACGGTTGAGAAAAAAAACAAAACAAAAAAAACGTGACCAGCAAATCTCTTGAAAAGAAATTGCAGCTCACCAAATCAAAGCTCAACTCATTCAAACAGAATGTGATTCATGCGCTGACGAAAAGAACGGTTGCCACATGTCTCAATATTTGGAAAAATCGGCAGAGAATTATGACGGGTAATGCTGACAGGAACGGTCTGCCATTCCGGAGATTACCTTTCTGTGACAAAAGATTCAAGAAGAGGTTCAACAGGCCCCTTGTGAGGTTGATGCCAGAGGCGGTTGAGTGGTAACCTTATCAAAGCGATGCAGAGAAAGGGACTGAGTTTGTATTGCCCGCATACCTTCTGGTAGGCCACTTTGCTGTTCAGTGCGAGCTCCTGCTGTGCGGCGCTGGAAGTGTAAATGGCCGAACGGTACTGAGTCCCGATGTCGGCGTGCTGCTTCATACCTGCGTACGCGGACACACAAAAGCGAGCGTGAGTGCCACAATCGCAGCGTACACATTTTCGCCATTTGCATCTAAAAGGTTTTCCCCAATTATGTCATCATCCCGCATCTTGAATTCGCAGAGCCAAATGTATTCAGGCGATCGCTTGCAGCGTCTGCGACGTGCCGGTGTAGGTGGGTGCGTGTTCAGTTTCTTTGTCGTGTATGCGCGTCAACATTTTCATCAGCTTTACATCAGTGTGTGTTTTTTTTTTCTTTGAGGACCAAAGCAAAGTTTGCGTGGATAAGGAGGCCAAAGAGCCGCCACGACTTGTGCGCGCTTCACAAGCGACGTCACTGAGCAGCTTTGACGTCCGTGAAAGCCTCCGCGCTTTATTTCTCATTCTTTATTCTCCTCCATATCATTCTTTTCTTTAGGCGTCCTTCCCGTCTATCTTCACTGTTGTTGGGTATTGCAACACAGCAGCCACAATATATTAAAATCGAGAAGAATCACAGGATTGGGATACTTGGCTCACTATGTCAATTGTATCACAATGTTTTGCCCAGCATATATAGCAACAGCGTCACGATAACGTACCCGCTAACTTGCCCACTCTCATTCTAGAATCAACTTCCACTTCCTGTTGCGATACTTAGCCCACTGTAGCAATGGCTTCACAGCGCTCGGGGAGGTATAATAGATGAAATCATTTACAGAGGATAAAGAATATATGCCTGTTATACCGTCCGTCTCTATTGACGTTTGTGTTCAAATATCCATTGCTTAAAGGCTAACTGCTGCGTCATCGATGCTCATTTCTTTAGCCAGTCTATGGCGTTTAGCATTGTGTAGTCACGGACTTTCGTAAGGCAAAATTATGTGTTTTGGTTAAATACACATCATGTAAATTCAGTTTGTTTTATATTAAGCACTAAGAGTCTTTTTAAAAAAATTTTTTTTTAAAGATTTGATGACTATCCGCCCCTTGTTGTGAGGTTTGCTGTCCCTATTTAGTATTCCTATCTTTAATGTTTACTTGCCACTCAAGACAAAACATAAACAAAACAAAAAAACAGTAACAGCTTAAAAATCCGTAAGGTCCATAGGCCACTTATAAGTAGCGGTACCACTGCGGTACACACTGACAGTAACAATCACGCTACATACCTAATGCACAGACAGTTAAGTTACATGTCACCCAACCAGGCCCTGCCTCTGAAAAGGTTTTAATAAAACAAACAGACATTACAATATGTATTTTCTGTCCAATTTATGCTAGTAATTAATTTTGTGTGCAATCTTTAAACAGTCACTTTGACTAAGTTTGTGCTCAAAGCATGATAAACGGAGGTGACCTGTACTGCTCTTTTACAATTTGATTCTTTCACATTTTTTTTTTGTGGGGGTTGTGACTGTCAAACCCAAAATTTAAAAAGCCGTTTTCTACTTCAGTCAATCATCAGTGCAGTTACCCTCCCAATCAAAGCAGCTTGCTGTTAGCTCCACCCACTCACAGCGCCAACCTTGCTTTTGATTATTCCAACTGTAGAACCAATCCCAAAAGAATTGAGTCCTCAAAGAAACAACGGCAACAAACACAAGCATCCCCCCGCCCCCCAAAAAAAAAAACCCAACTCAGCCATCTCTCATGCGCTTTCTCCATTTTTAACGGCCCCCTTTCGTTATTTTCTCCATCCGTCAAAGGCAACAGTAATTATTAATGAGAGCCTCCCTGTTCCCTCTGCATTATGCATGAGAGAGCCTTGCTTCTTGAAAGCACGGGGTAATGGGGGGGTTGGACCGAAAGGGGGAGGGGCTCCCGGGGTCACACGTGCCCACTCGCACAAACGGCGCCGCCTCGCGGGGGTCGCTGACCTACACCCCGTGAAAATATTAATTAACCCCCGCCAAGAGGAGGAGCCGAAAACAAGAGCGTTTCAAAGTGGCCCCCTTTTAAACGGTTGACAGACAAACGGAATGGGGAATCAGACAGACGTCTTAAAGAGCACGCGCTCCGCATTTGAACCTGCTGGGATTGGTAGCAGCGGCTCCGCAAGATGGTTCTCATTGTTTATCCTCATCCTTCACTCTTTTCTTCAGGGGGCTTTTTAATCTTTCGTACCACCACACCCCCGCCTCTCGCTCATTTCCTGCTGACACTTTAAAGCATGTGCACGTTTGAACTCCCCCAAAATATAAAGAGCGGAAGGGGGATCAAGCGCGAGGCCGCCTTGTTGATGCACTGGCAGGGTGCGCCTTTCTTCCAGAGCCTCCACTGCTGCTTTGACCCTCTTTCATTGCAACCCCCCCTCCCCACCCCTACCTCCGATGTATCTTTACGTAACGAGCCTTCATCCGCTAACAAGTGCCGGAGCGGGGATTAGCCTCATCTCGCCACGCACTGTCCCTGCGGCCTCCTCCCGCCTCTGGATTTCCAAGAGGGCCATCCAGCGCTCGCACGGATGTAGAACACGAGAAGACTGCAAATGAGGCAAATTAAAAAAAAAAACGCGAAGGGGGCGCCTTACGTAACGGCCGCCAAGAGAAGTTAGAGCCGGTGATGTTCAGTTTGGTTCCTTTCCACCGTAGGGAGCTCATGCGGAATGCTGATAGCTGGGTCACCGAGAGTACCTACCACTTGCCTTCATATTTGAACACAATCAAGCATCCGTTTTCTAGACCGCTTATCCTAAGCTGACTTTGGACGAAAGATGATCCCACCGTGTTTGTGTAGAGGCCGTTAATAGCAGGAAAAAAAAAAAAAGCATATTTGACACCCCTCAAAATGTTTTGGGTGGTGCTTTGAGATATAAGTTCAATTCATTCCGTGACAACTCCATTCAACTGTACCAGCTTTGCCCCCCACCCCCACCCACAAATATTGTAACGTGTTCCTTCATTTAAAAAAAAAAGCACTGTATCATATATATGAAAATAGATAGCGACAACATGAGCAGAAAAAATGTTTGGGCATCGGAATGAAATGATTGCAGTTCCTCAACCTGGCCATCGGGGGCAGTATAGTACAATAATGGCGACACAAAAGAAGAAGAGTTTCACAAACCTCCCTGCTCATGTCCACAGACCCCCAACCTTGAACACATTCAAAGCAGGCGTCAAAACACACCTTTTCATCAAGGCTTTTCCCCAAAATATGTTGAATCCCCCTTGACCCTGTAAATCAACATTTAGGTTGAAGTTTTTTTATATTTTTTTTTGAGGGGATGAGGGGGTGGGTGGGTGGATTAATGTCATTTCAATTCATTTCAATAGAAAAATATGACTTACAGTTTGACATTTTTTGCTTCACTTTTGTGATCAGTTTTGTGCACTTTTTTTTTTTTCTTCAAGTGATCTTCCAGATAATTATGGTCACTATATAATTGCCGAAACAACAACTCTAATGGCTGCGCTAGGCAGGTGCAGTACGAGCTCGATCTTCATGGTGGAAATGGTTTAAAAGTGAACAATCACCCATGGAGTCGAAAGGCTGTACCCCAGGAAACAGGACTTAGCAGTGATTAGATAAATGCATTATATACGAAAATGCGACAGCAAAAAGAGAGGCCTGATGGAAAAATCTAAGTGAGAAGTCACATTTGGTGCCGTAACAAGCGTCACAACCAGGCCCTGCAAGGGATCAATGGTTGTTGGAGCGGGACCAAATCCCAACAGTCTAATACTTGTCGCTTGCATTGAATCCTGTTATATTTAAACTTTCCAATCCACTTTTAGTATTGCTGATAGTTAATTTTGAACTGCTTATTGCCAGGGGGGGTTGGGGGGGGTACTACTTTATTATTTACCATTTTTATTTATTTATTACATTTCTTTTAAGATAACTGAGCCATGTATTTTTGTTATGCTCTCAAATTTGTTTGAAAAACATTTTGGGGTGTTTAAGTATATGGTTGTTTTTTTTTTTCCCCCCCATGTCTTCCCGGCTGTTTTCCTTTCACATCTAAGACATCGCGGCGCTTAACAGCGACCCGCCAGGCTTGTCGTTCCGTCTCCCCCAATGTTGCATGCATGGCCAATATATCCGATTCTGATATTCGAGAAAACCTCACACTGCTGATGATGTGTAAACTTCATAAGACGGACAGGCAAGCCACGAAAGTGCTAAAGACCTTGTGCTTGACTGTAAAAACTAAATGACAGGAATGTGCATATGAGAAACAAAGAGGTGCTTATTGTTAATTTGTATGTTGAGCTAATTGGGCTTTGGTTTGAGTTTCATCACACTAAAAATTGCGTAGCTACATTTGCACCCCTTTGTATACAGACACTATTCCCTTTGCATGATGTTGTAAATGTACATCGACATTCATTTTTGATTCTTTGATATGGTCCTTGTGTGCTGCTCCTGCCCACTTTGCTGCTGTAAAACCACCGTTTTCCCATTTGAGGGACTAATAAAGGCTGATTCTATTCCACCATCATTTGCACTATGGTGCAATCCAAATAAATGATGGGGACAAATGGCCGACGACGGCAACCTCCCCTCTGTTTTTTTTTTTTGTTTTTTTTTTTTTAAGTTTCTTTTATGGTGGTGCGTTCGTGCTAGTAGGTTGTGGCGTGCCCTGCGGTCCCGCTACGACCGTGTGTGCGTGCCAGCACAGCCTTCGCTCTCTCGCTCTTCTCTCTCTCAGCTGCTATTTTTGCCCTCATCTTATGTAAGCCGCCGCTGATGCGCTGGAGACAGAGGCAGAGTTTGGGATAGTGAGAGCATCCCCCGTGGATGCGCGCGCGCACGCACACGCACAGCCTCTTTTTAAGGGGAGCGAATGTGTGACAACATTCAGAGTCAAACAGTAACGTGATGCTCGGCTGGCGAAATCGCGTCGTGTGTGTGTGTGTGTGTGTGTGATGGGAGAATGAAGTGCATGTCTACATCATGGTTACTTGTGTGTATTTTCCACGACCGGGGCTCTCAAACGTGACTACATGGTTCTGGGCATGCTGTCAGGGTCCAGTGACCCTTTCGCTATTTATTTTTAGCTCCATCCAATCTAACA